TGGGATACTCTTCTTCTGAACACAGAATGTATTTCCCTGTGATGTCCTGATTTAGATGCAGGTGGTTGCTGTGAGATGAAGACATACAGCTCCAATGGAGGAGAGGGTGAGAGAGTGGACGGATCACTGGTGGAGCTTTGGAGTACATGTGTCCTTCCCATGTCTCTTTCAAGCTCCATTTCTCCTGGCATCACCACCCTTGGCAGGGGAGAAACATAGATGCAGATTTTCCACCTATAAGAACTCCAGTTGTTGTAGAGATGGATTTCTTCTGTAGAGAAAAATAGATAATGGCTTTCAGACATGCCAAGAGAAGAGACATCTTGATAATGGTCTAGAACAGGAGCATCAGGCAGAGGATTCAGTGCAGGATGCCTGATTCAGGTTCTGGATGCCCTACTGTTATCTGGATCTGGGGGATCTCAGCTTAAGGTACATATTGTTATGGGGATGGTGGTGTGTGAAGCTAGGTTTACCACCTGGTGCATTAGATAGAGAGTAAGCTGTGTGGCCAAGGGACAACATCATATTAGGGCAACATATTAAAAAGCGCATTGGAGACCAAGCAAGTGCTCTGATACCCCAGCCTCAGCCTGGACTAGTGTGCACACTGATAGGTGACGGGGAGTTTGTTCTGGAGTTGGAAAGGTGGTCAGAGGTTTCCAGTGTACCAGTAAGTATCAGTGCAGGTGGTCCAAGATAATAGGATATCCCCCAGTAGAGGGGACTCCATGTCTGGGTCAGTAGAGTTACACTGGGCAGGTGGGTGGGAGATCCATTTCATGCCCTTCTGGGAGCATCAGAGGTTTGAAGAGTGCCAGTCAGTTACAGAACATGAGCTTGGATACAGTAAGAGATGTAAGAGCTCCCCAGAGTGCAACTCATAGGATTAGGATGGTCCAGTGGAAGTATGCAGATGTAACCTAGAAGTAACCCTATCACATACTCTGTCTTGTATGTGCTCGACACTGCCAAACATGACTGAGTTCAGGGGAAATATTCTTGTAATTTAACATTTTAAATGACTTTTTAATGTCTGCATTAATCTAACATTAAGGAAGCCCTTTAGAGAGGGCCAGTTTAAAAAGTGCTTGAAACTGATTTACATATATTATGGACTTATTATACACTGTGAAGCCCTTGCAACTAGAAACATGGTTCAGGAACATTCTGTGGTTCTAAGTTCTGCTACTAAAAATGCGAATCTTATTAAAAAACGTGCACAAAAGCATGTCTCTGCTCTTATTTGTGCAGCCATAGGAGTAGAGCATAATGCTCTGTTGTTACAAAGAGGACAACTGTTTGTCCACAGAGAAAGTGATGCAAAGTGTTCATGAACTGAGAAAGAAAATTTGAGTTTTTCTGTTAGATTCAAATTTTATCAGGGCAGAGACACTGTTGATCCCCACTGGCTTGTGCTTTTGGCCGATCTAGCTGACATGTCTGACAAACTGAATTCTCTTAGTGTCTCATTACAAGAAGCAGAAAGTACTGTGTGTGACCAAAACAACAACATTTTGCAATTTAACAGAAGCTAGCTCTCTGAAAAATAAAGATTGGAATGGATACAATCATCCCATTCCAATTGTTAAATAACACTATCAAGGAAACAGAACTGAATTGCTCTGGGTTGTGGAGCCAATTAAAACCACCTGACTTCCATCAGTGCCAATCTGTATAAATATTTTCCTGAAGAAAATGCAACCATGAATAACCAGATTATCAAGCCTTTTGCAGCTGTGGCAGTGACCTTGGTGATATGTGCAGCCAATATGTGCTTGCAGCCCTCTACACAGCTAATCAGGTGGAGAAAGGAAACAGTACTTCACCAGTTGAATTAGAAAGGATCTTAACACTCCTGCTCTTTCACAGTGAGTCTTAGAATCCTTAATTTTCAAACAGTGAGGACATTGATTTAAAATGTCATTGTTGCATTGTCAAGACACCAGCTTTTATGGCACAGTATCACTTGTTACTATAATGGGGTATTATCTTGGAAATCCTTGTTTACAGAGAGAAGTACCAGTCACTGGCCCAACAACACTACAGTGCTTACAGCAGCAATACGTTTTTACTTAGAATTCCCCCAATTCAGTTCTGGTGCAAACCTGCTTAGCTTCTGAGATATGATAAGATCAGGGGACAAGATGTGGAACACTGCTGCCATATTTCAGCAGATTTCTCAGAAACTGACAAACATCAATTTTAGAAAATGGGTTGTGGCTGAGTGTAAACAAACCTAGACATAAAAGAATATGAGAAGAAAGTTCCCAAGACTAAACCACCTCTTAGCATTGTTTCTTTGAGTTCACTGACAACATCTGTGAACATCTGACAATAAGATTTGAAAGAGTAGGGAAGTGTCAGTTTGTCTAATACAAAGAATATTTCAGATGGAGTCTCTGGGAACATTGTACCCAAATGTTTTTACAGTAGTCAACTTCAAGCTTGAAACTTGTTCAATTAAATTATGTACAATTCATATCAGTTCCAAGGAAACCATGTCTCTGACCTGTGTAAAACTGATGCCCTGATTTACACACTTGCTTTTTTCATGCTGACAAGTGTTTTATTCATAATTCTGACTACTGTTTTCAACGTCAATGATGGGAAAGTTAATAATCTTTTTGAATTTTAAATTGCATAAAAACACACACACATACAACACCAGTAAATGTCTGTCCAATTTAGCCAAACTGACTTTTGAAAAGGAACTGCAGAGGTATAGGTATGTACGTACCATACTTGATATATTTGATTCATACTGTACATCTATGTGTATTACCAAAGAATAAGAGCAACAAAAATATTCCAGTCTCATAATATGATGAAGAAAAGAAATAATAACACAATATTTGGCCTAGTTGAGTTGTAACTTAGTAATACAGCTATAGTACTGGTTAGTAGTTAGACAAACCGTGTGCTTTGGAATTTTCACCTTAAGGCATAAAAGTAGCAATGTTTCTTATATTATTCAATATCACTTATATTAAGTCAAGGGATCTGATTGGCTCCTACAGTAGGTGGGGTAAACATCAATTCAAAAATAATACCAGCTTCATAAATATTTTGGAATTGTTTTAAATCTCTTATAATAAATTGCTTTAAATTGCCCTCCTAAGGATAAAGTATTTCTGAATGAATTTAATTAAAATTGGAAGGTAGGTGTTAAAAGATATTTCATATTAATATTCAATGGTTGCATTATTTTAGCACCACTCACTAATAATGGGGAACATGTCTTAACATCTAAAATTGAGTAAAAGTGTTTTAATGATGCTAAGGGATGACTGGGTCTTTGCTATATTTCATATTACACACAATAGTAGCCATACTTCTAATTAACTGAGTAGGTTACTATACCTTTTTTGTATCAAAATTAAAAAATAACAGATTTATTCACCTAGCATTTTACAGCATTATATTATGAAAACCCACTGACACTTAAATGTTATAATGTCTTAAAAACATTTATTGCTAAATATGGTTTAAGTAGCATTGTTTATTAGTGTATAATTAAAATATTGTTGTTGGACTCAGTTACTGTATGTACTGTATATAAAATACATGTACAGTACATATTTTACTTTATTGTGCAAGTATACTTTATCATAAGGATTCCTGGTTAAAGATTTAGAATATCTTAATGAATCAATTGACTTAACTACATAACAGTGAATTAATTTATGGGTCCAGTCCGTTTTGCAGAGAATAATAACACATGGTGGTGTCAGTGTCATGGTGTAGGCTGCTGTTTGGCATAGTGGGAAAACTGAACTTGTTTTTGTTGATGGCTGTTTTGCTGGAGGTTATGTCTGTGTTCCAATAAACCACCTACTACTACTGTTTTATCTCAGTGCCTTATATTGTCACATTCGTGTGCTTCATAATGATGGTGTCACTTGCCACACTGCCATTTGACAATGTGGAAATGAAAAAAGGCATCAAACAACCACATACAAGCCCGACAGAACACACGTGGGAGCATCTGGACAAGGCGCTAAGTAAAGCACATGCATTGTCTATCAATGTGAAACATTTGCAATTACTTTTCATGTTTGAGCATTTGATTTTCACTTGGAGATTGTGTTACAATGTGTAATAAAGGTAAATTGGAATTTCATGTGTGTCTATTTCAGGCTTTTAGGCCACAAAATGTACAGACTTTCTATACTGACTGTATACCGTATAAGCTGGCAGGCCAGGGTGAAGATGGGATGTAAGGGGGCAGGAAAAGTAGCACAAGGGTGCTCGGCAGGCAATATATTTGTAGAGAGTTTTAAATATTGTTTGGCATTACTCATTTTAAATTTAAATTAATGTTAAATGGTGTCTTTTACCATGCCACCAAACATCATCACTATTGCAATTACAGCCCTTTTACGATTATAGATTATTTACAGAGATCACTTTTTCATCCTACTCATTCACTATTACAGGAAGTTTCCAGAAGGAAACATAAGAAAATGAACTATAAAGCTCTGTAAAACTAATCAGCATGGTGGCTATATATGAAAATGTTTCTGAAATTATGCAAGAAGACTTGTGTACTTACTGCTGTTGGCATTTATAAAACTTAATATAAAGTTGATTCCATTACCTTTTTCTGTAGCCCCACCAATAAACAAGCAGTGAAGACATTTAGCAACTAAGACCAGGTTTACCTTATTTGCAGCTCATCGGTGTAGTTTAGCCATGTCTTAATTTTTATCTCATTATTATTTTATTCTTTCTCTCACCTGGAGGCTCCAGTATTGAAGCCCAAAGGTACCCAAAAGGAATGTAAATGAATGCTAAACAAGGTTATAATAAAGGCTTTGCTCCACAAAGACAGTAGAGCACACCTTTAAATGTTTTAACATTAACCAAGTGTAAGATAAGACAATAATGGAATGATTTTAAGAAGGAGAGTTAAACACTGATGAGCTTTAGTAGCTTTATCTAGGCTACTTGTTTATCTTTGTAATTACTGAAAAAGACAATGGAAACATCTCTGAGATTTAAATTATCCATTTAATACTGTGCTTCAAAGATATTCCATTATAGGTTCTTAGATACATATAAATGTATGTCAGTGTGCAAGTCTCTACCTGTATACAGTATATGAAAGCTGTAACTGTATCCTGACTCATAACAAAAACATAATCAATTTAAGTTAGACATTTCTTGTTCACTGCATGACTAAATCGATCTTTGGTCTCCACATAAAGAAGTACTAACTTTTACACTCTTACCGTTTCCACAAACAACTTTTCACATAGAGAAAATATCATTTTCAACCACCAGTCAACACCAAAATGTTTATTAAGAAAAAAAAGTAAATACTTCAATGAAAACAAAATTGAATTTAGCCCTGGTAAATTCTTACCTCAGAGAAACTGACCAGATTTTCATCATAAAGATCACCCTATGAGTGATCAGAACCAGCTACTTAAAACATCCTTATGTGTGTAGTGCAATTCTGTTATGGACACTTTGTAGTGTCAGCCATAGGTAATTACTTTTTTTGTAGACTCATTTCTTTTGATTCATCTTCTTTTTTTTTGTGAATTTAGAAATACACCAGTTGACAATGGGAATGATGTGTGCAAAAGTTGAAAATATAGTTGAGTGGGACACTTAACGGTGGTAACAGTGGTAACAACATAATGTGTAGGAAGTTAATTCTGGTCATCTGAAAAGCATGTGCTGTCTTAGAAAGTGCACCATTCCTGCTAAGGGGGTTTGGGCTGAAATGAGTAATTTTACTATGAGAAGCTGGCAGTAGGGGGTATAGGGAGCAACTGGATCTGGTTCTAAAACAAAGAGATAGGTCAGGTTCTACTCTGTTCAGCTAAACCCAGTTCCTAATTTCATCACATTGTTTGCTTTAAGTAAAAAAAATAGGGTGAAATGTGTCCAAACCAAAGAATATCTATAACATTCTAAGTAAAAGCAGTGATTTACATGTATTGATTAAAAATAATAGATGTATTAGTTGTGAGAACACTATGTTGGAGTCCTGTGACATTTTAATAAACCACTTTAGTTAAAAGCTTTTATTGTTTGCAATGTTATAGAACTCCAAATTAGAATTTGAGAAGACCAATGAAATGTGTCTATGAAGCATGTAAACCCAATCACTATAAGTATTACTATAATGAAACAGTATAAACCTACAGTAAATGTATTTTATGAGTGCTCTCCAAGGTTTTCTTTCCAGTGAAAAGTAATTCATTTTGTCATTAGCACTTCAACTAACGCTATAAATGTATCCCTTTCATAGAATCTCAAATCCTTAATTTATTATGTCATTTAATTAATTTCAGTTAAAATATTGTTTAAGTAGATATGTTCTTGCCTATTCATTTTAAATCTAAAATACTTTTTAGATTTAATACAAAAGTTGCAGTGTTATACAATTTGGAAATGCCATAATTGATTTGAAAAAATATGCCCTAAAATTACCCTAAAAAATAAATTACCTTGGTTGTGATAGTGATTCTACTCATTGGATATTTTATTTCATTATAGTGTATATTGTGGAATACAAATAATAAAGAAAGCCACAGAAAGTATTAACATAAAATAATAACCTTACGAAATCCACTGTGATTATTTTTCAACTGTTTATGTTCCTTTTTTCTTTCTTGAGACTGAAGATCTCAGTTTAGAAAATAATATTTTTTTCATGTATTTATTTCTTTCTTAAAATATTTTCAGAATAAAAAAGTAGCTTTATGTAAATTTTCTATTTTTTTCATTTATCCAGTCAAGTATCATCACTCTGAGGTCTGTGCTGTGCAACACAACAAAAAGTCAAAAGAAACAATGAGTAACGTCCCCCACGCTATTATACAGTACAATAGGACAAATAAGCCTTTAAACAGTACAGTAGTTCAATATATTAATATCAATGGGGTATAAAGACTATTATTGTTGATTTTCATTTCTACAGTGTTCTTACTGGACATGTTTTAAATTCAAAATATTCCAATGGGTAAAAAAATATAATTCAACAATCAAATGGAAAAAAAAGCAAAATGATAGCTTTTCTTGAATCCACTTTATATGACTGGCATAGTGACCACATTATTTGTGTTAAATAAGGTTTTCTACAAAGATACAACATATAAAACTGTTAAATATATAGCTTTAGGCTTTTCAAAATACATTTAATGAATTTTCCCAAACTGTTACTCTTTACTATGTTTTCCTTCAATAATAAATGATTTGTTCTATTACTGTCACCATCCATGCTTATTGCAAATTGTCCATATGCAGAGATTGAAAAAATGCAATTGGAAAGTACACACAATAATTATATATATATGTGTATTTATACACACATATATACACATGTGTGCGCATGTGTAGTTGTTCTATAATTTTGAAACAGCAATGTGTTAAGTCCAAGAATAAAAGTCAGCAAAGATTTAAAGGTGCTCCTTTTAAACCACATATTTAATGTCACAAGGCATTAACTGCCATCTTGTTGCTGTGCTCCATTAGAGCTGGTCAATTCAGAACAGTTGCTCCACAAAACATTAGGGACTTGAGTTTGTGGTGTGAAAGCTAATTTTGTAACATTCCATGGACCTTTGCTATTCACACCTGTTAACCTTGTCCACTTCAGTTGTTTTATTGTTGTTGTTCTTTGGTTGGCAAAAATGCTGTGAGAGTGACAAAATAAGTTCTGTCCAGATACTGTTCTTAAGAGTATCTCTCCCTTGCTCTTTTGTTTAGTCCGCGGGAACCCCAGGTTCATTCCTTTGAAAACCAGCTTCTTCTGCATCGGTTATGGGCAACATAAAATCCAATAGCAGAATTAAATCCAGTGTAGATTTCACAATGGACTGTAGTATTGCTCAGTCATATCTCTGATATCTACATTCTTCAATCCCGTACTCCAGTGTGGTGTTGAACAGACTTAAGCTCATGGTATAAGGAATTATGTTGTCCTATACAATGTAGAGAGACAGTTGAGCTGATGATACAACAGATGATCCACAGCAGTGAAACTTGACTAAGGTAAGTAGCTCACACAGAGTCTAAACCGCTCCTCTGAGGATTCTCTGTTGCTACATTTGTCAGGAGACCTGTGAATCAATAAGAACACATAAGTAAACATTTCGCATTACAGTAATTGTTATTTTGAGTGTAAGCAGTAAATATTCAATACAACATCAAACAAAAGAAACAAACAGTATCTTACCCACTCCTTAATTTAAACATGTTGAAATGTTCCTTTGAAAAGTAAACATTATGCTACATCTAGTATATTGAACTTACCATTGTATGAAAATTACAATTATTCTGAATAATAATATACAATAAATTTTTTCATAGCACTTTAATTACAAAAGATAAATCAGTGAAAGTGACTGAATATTGTAATACCTGCTGTGAACTTATGGTATCTCCCAAATCTTTTTTTCTAAATACTGTTTGATTATTAGTATTTATGGGTATTTCTCAGACTGATGAATCACAGTTTTAATACTGTAGTCTGTAATTAAAAAAAAGAGGTTGAAAGAACAAGGATCAGACAAACATGTTTTATATAAATTCCAATAAAATTGAAATAACATGCTTCCACTTTAGAACAGCTTCAGATGAACCTGGATTACTGAGGTTAAAAACCATGTTAAAATCCTTATTAAACACAAATGTATCTGTTTAGGGCTATCAAGTACATTACAAACGCTACTACTCTAAAATTTCATGCTTTTTATTGTATGAAATAATTTGATCTACAGTGCCCTCTAGCGATATAGTAGTTATGTTTGAATTAGTACAAATAAAAAAATGGCAATGCGTAGCAAGACATCTTAGACATATCTCAGTGGAATTAAAATGCAAATTAAGTGAAGTGCTCCTAAGGCAAAGTGAGCTACTTACTCCTGCTGGTTTATTATTATCTAAAACCATTTCCCTCAAAAGAATGCCAATCCAAGCAATTCTTTCATAACCTCTCTGAATTCTGCATTTTGGTATTGTAAAAGTAATTCACACAAGTCATGTAAGCATGCATAATTAGAAAAAAATTAAAACAAACACAAAACATAAGACATAATAACAATAGTTTATACTTTGTCTTTTTATGTGCTTGTGTGTACAGTTTGTACAGGCAGAATGGAAGCTGAGATTTATTGACTACTGTGAGAACAGTAAATGTAATTTAAATTCAAGATGAATTCAGTAGAAGAGCTAGGTATTTTTACTGTTTGCATGTAACACAAACCTAGAAAGACTGAAGTTCAATTTGGATTCTTCAGTGTACGACGGTGGCAATTCCAAGGAAACTATATGTATAAAGTCCTCCAAAATATAATGAAACTTTGTGTTTTCCTTTTTTTAGGATGCAAACACTTTCTTCAGTTTAAGGCACAGAAATTATACTCATAACTATAGTTTCTTTTACAGTCATGTTGGATAGTATGACGATAGTTTTCTATCAGAGTTATGTATCATTATGATACAAGCACCTCCAGCCATTATGCATTAACATTATTTGAGTTCTTAATAGGTTGTATGGAGTTTGTGTTTTTATACTGTACTCTACTGAAACATTACAACTAAACATAACTGGTAGTTTTGTAATCCTAGTCTGAAGAATACTGTTAATTTATAGTAAAAATCTTGCATGAAGATCAATGTGATGCATATTGATTAGAAACTAGTGGAATTCTTGCTTGAAAATCATTTACTTTAAATTCTGTATATTAAAAATTATATACATAAATTTGTGTGTGAATCTATGCATTTTACTGCATTATATTAATGTAAGTTGCTAAGTATTCTTTTTGTAAATCAAATATTGACCTTGGCAGGAATCCATCAAATAAGCAGTTTTCTATAATTGACAAAATAACTTGCAATATTGACATTTCTTTAAAACTGGATCACAGTGCATTTTATTTGTATATGTAGAATATGAATCCCTTAATATCCTGAATCAGTAAAGAGATAGTTTTGCCTGAGGCAGACTAAAATCATAAAGGCACAGACTCAAAAATATCAATTTATTGCAACATTATTTCATGTGCTTTTTAATGTTTTATTAATTGAACCCATTAAGTGTAGGGGGACTGTCTGAAGATTGAGAAGACTATGAGACAACTAATAGTATTCAATTACAACTAGAATTATAAACTGCTTGCCTTTTCATGGGCCTTTTAATCTCATTCCATTCCAAAGCACATCAAAAAATAGCTGGAGGATCCACCCAAACCACCACTGTGGTGCAGGACTCACCTGGGTGACAAACAAGAGGTACCTTGTACCAGGAGCCCCACCACAGCAGATCAGGTGGAGAAGTGAGAAATTACTTCACCCATTAAATTAAGGAGGGAATTTAGGGAGGACAGACTAAGCAGGCCCATAGTAAAATTTAGCCATGAAAAAGATATTAACATCCCTCCTCTTATGAGCAGTGCAATAGGATCTTAAAAGACTAAGTAATCAGAGGACATGTCTGTGGATGTAGAAAAAAATTAACATTAAAATAAAATGAAAATGATTCATACTTAATAGGACTATTGTGCATCTCTATTACACTAAGCATCACACTTCAGATGTGTTAGTAAAAAATGTCAACTTAACATTGACTTTAGAAGTGTATTTTTAGAATCATCAGAATATATGTAAAAGTAGGGGAAATAATCATCTTAAACAATATAGTTAGTTACAAACGTTGGGAAAGTTTAAATTAAGTCATAACCATTTTTATGTTATTCTTTCCACATGCAGAACTATTTCACAGTAAAGAAAATTCGAATGGCAGATATGGTATCAATCTCTTTCTTCAACAAATGCAAACTCAACCATTCAACATGCAGGTTAGTTTGACTTGAAATAGATTCATCTGTACCTTTTTAATGTTGTTAAGGCCCATATTGGTTTGCTGTTTTGTTGTTTTTTTCAAGTCTGCTCTTGACAAGTAGATGTTTTTCTCTGTCAGTCGGGTTCGCAAAGCGTTCCGCCATGTTTGTTTAAGTTTTGAAAGGGAATTCCATCACGTCATAGTGCCTGAAATTACAGGTATGATTTTGGTCGTTTTAGGGTCAGGCATAGGAGGTAAATTCAGTAATTGGGGTACAAATTGTAACGGCATGCAATAGCAATATCTGAAAACTTTGTTATTTAATACCTATTTAATCTCTTTATGCTAAATTATTGGATCCTTGTCTGAATATAAATCAAACAAGGTTCTTATTATACGACAAATGCATCGGCTATAGCCCAAAACCCAGACATTTTAGAACACAAGACATGAAAAAATCTAAATGCTATTTCTTTCCTTGAATACTATATCCTCTTCTTTTTTTTTAAAAAAAAAGAATGGCATTACTATATTTTACTATCCTAACCATAGAATAAATTAAATGGATGTGACTGTAATCAGAAATGTTTGTAATGAATTCAAAGCTTGTTTTTACAGAAAGGTAATGGCTGACCTTACTGGGCTGTGAGGCAGCGACACTGATGAAATGAAATGAACCTGAGAAGCGAACAAGCTTGGCTGATGACAAGGACCAGGACACAATGGTGACAGTGTCATTAGTCAACCCCACTGGGGTAGACTCTGAGCTATTCATCACTAAGCTATTTCTGAGTTAATAATCAAAAATAGCATATCTGTATCAAGAATAACACTATGAGCAAATAACAAATATATTTAAGTAGTGACATTATAGAAAATATGGATGTCGCTAATGGGTTCAGTTTCAGATGGTCTGTGGTTTTTAAATAAACTGAGATAATTTTGCAAAAATATTTTACCATTGAAAAGTGATAATGCTTTGAATGATTAGCAATTCTAAAGAATTTCTGTAACAGTTCTGACGTTTTGTCTAAGGTTATTTATATTTTTTCCCATTTTAAAAGCAATGTAAATTATTTCATATTTACTGTACAATATGGAGTAATCACAAAATAAATATACTGCAAAGTAAAATTTTGAAATGATATTAAAATAGAAATATATAAAAAAGAATATAAAAAGGTTTATTTTTAAATACAATAGATGAATATTCACAAGACAGAACTTTGAGTTACTGCTCTAATTATGAATGTTATTTTGAAATGCTCCATTTTCATTGATGAAGGGTATATTGACCGAAAGTTAATGGTGCATTGATATAAAAAAAATTATATTATATACTTTTTAAAGCATTTGAACGTTTTGTTATATTTGTGCTTCATTGAGTCTAATTGTTCATCTAAAATGTATTTTAGGAATAAGTAAAGGTTTATTCCATGCTGAAAAGAGAAGAGAAGAAACACAATGTTTCAGCTGTGGAGCCTTCTTCACGTATGTCAGGTATGTCTTAACACACCTGAAGAAGGCTCCACAGCTAAAACATTGTGTTTCTTCTATTCTCTTTTCAGCATGGAATGAACCTTTACTTGGTTCTTTGCAGCCTACCATGCTGATGCAGCTACCTACTCAAAATATATTTTAGCCAGGTTTCCTTAGTGTTAGATGTACAGTACTGTACATTAATGACATATTAAAACTGAAATTCTTGTAGTATATTTTTGTTTACAAAAATTAAAGTAACTGTACTAATGGGCAGGTGCCTCATGTAAAAGAAAGCTAAACATAAAATGTACAGGTATGATGAGTTCTTCAAGTCTGCACATTTTAATCAGTTCTGTGCCAGTTACTGTGTGTGATTATGTCTAGTGTGCATGATTGATGCAGAGAACAGGGAACTTCTAGGACAAGATGGTACCTGTGGGAGCCACATGTGTTAACCATGGACTAATCAGTCCTCCTTTCAGGTTCATTAGGAGAAAAAGAGTGACTAACCTGATGATACATTTCAAAACTTGAGAGTCTTCATTTGGCCTAGATTAATGGAGGAGTGTTATGGATATTTGAGATGAATTGTAATCAGCAGTTCTAATGTTGAATATAAAATAGCAATTCTAAACGTACTATATACTATAAATGTAATATATTATAGATGTATCAAAGGCCACCCTCCATCATATAGAATATGATGTATGTCATATATGCCATTGGTTGTCAGGTCCTTTAAACAAACAAACAAACAAACAAACAAACAAACAAACAAACAAACAAATACTACTCTCCTAAGACAAAATGTAGATGATTTTTCTAGACATGCCACATGCCTAAATTATGATGTTACAATAAAAGCTTCACTATTAAAACAGTACAATAGATTAAAAGTCAGAGTGTCACAAAACCATAGTACGAGAGCTGGTGTTACTGTCAATGGCACTTATGGAACAAGAGAGATTGTTTATTTTTCATTGTCTTCTACAGTTGGTAACTTTCCCATTAACTATTATCAATGCTGATTATATCTTGCTAGAAACTCAGCAAAGAACTAGCAATCCATTTTCACAGTGTTCCTGAATATAACTACTATGTTTTATCTTACAAAGTACCTTTTAAATAACAATACACTGTGCTTTATAAGATGTCTGATATATGTGATGCTATGATTATTTAATTTGAAATACCCAAAAGTTCTGATTATTGCAATTCCCACTTGAAAGGGAATATTATGGGGCTGTAGCCTACATATACATCTTCTTCCTGTTCATTATTATTCCAGTTCATTATTATTACTAATGTGTTGTTGCTCTATTGCAGGCACTGAAGATATGGTTAATATAATTATTTTAAATATTTAGATATTTAAATATTTTTGGAGAATTTGTCAATTTCTTTTTTCTTTTATCAGTATTATATAAATGATCACATTCAATGTGATCTACAAATCATTTTACATGTGTTTACATGCCATTTTTTTACACATTGTAATTGCAAAACTAAATGAGTAGCATTTTTGCCAATTCCTTTTTTCATTCTGATTTTTATTTTATGGTTCCAGTTTTGTTACAAGAAGAAGCTATATGTTGACTGAGCAGATAGTGCTTTCCAGAATTATCCATATCCTGAATGAATTAAGAACAAAAACCAGCACATAAAAATAATTTTTAGAATATATGTCTTCTATAACAAATCTAAAAATGTTATACTTAGAACTTCGTTTCCTGAAGGTGATGTCCATGTGTTGCATTTGGATTTAATTTGACTCCCAAACAGCAAGCACAAACCTGTATGTGCTTCAAATATACATGGTTGTTTAGAATCTTGCAATTACATTTGAAAAGAATAACTCAATAAGTGAGATACTCTTTTTAGTAAACAGAGATTAATCTTCCGTCCACTGCCTTTTGTATACCCATGGTGACTGCAAGACTTTATAACCACACTGTATGTGCTGTTTGAAGCCAATGCAGACAACTTTGAAAAAAGAGTCCCGAGCATTAATATTATGAACACTTCCTCTTTGCACATAATACCAGCTGTCCTAAATTTTGTGATTCTATGAAACCTTCATCTTAATGTGCCCTGTTGTGCCAGCCACCCAATGGGATCAATTAGAAAGTTGTAACAGCATGAGCATCTATGGACTGAAAGGCCTCCTATCGGTTTTAGCTTTTCTTACAATATGTTCTTTTTTATTTTAAGCCCTCTCTATTTTGACACCACCAAATACATACAAACAGGTTCAGATTAATGAATGTTTTTACATTGACTTTCTCATCTTTAGAAACAGAGCGCTGTGAAAAATGTTAAAGTTTTGAAGAACACCTAAAAGAAATCGTACATTAAGTCATTTCTTATGATGTAGTGGATTGATTCTCTTTTAATTCAAAACATAAGTGAACTCCTTCCTTTTATTTTTAATAATTCATAAACTTTGGATAATTATTAGTAGCTGTCACTGTTACTTAGAGATAAGATATAATCTTTAACATCTGATTTTTAATTTACAAAAATAAACACAACAAAATATACATTTTTTATACCTGGGCTCACATACTTTAGTATCCATAATTTATAGTAAAGCTATAATATCATATAGTTTATGTCATGTAGTTTAGTTGTTTTCTCAGTAGTTCAGGGTAGAGCACATTTAATTCATAAATACCTGTAAGTCATGACTGAAGTGCGGACATAATGTAAATATAAACATTTAAATGTTTTAGAAGAGCAAATCGTGATTTTTCTTTCTATTGAAGTTAATCTATTACTTTTGATATTAAAGATCAAACCTACTACTTTAGCTGCAAAAGAGCACATGAATAATAAAGACCCAATGCCTGAAAGTGAATTCAGTAATCATTGTTTTGTACATATCTTCACAGTGAGAACCATGCCAAGCATTTACAACTGATAATGAGTAAAATTTGGTCAACTCTGTAGCAGAGCCCTGCAAAATCTAAATTAAGTGTAAAATGTAGATTACACAAAATTTGGTCTTACCAAAAATATGCCTTATCCTGTACCATTTCTTTACACAAGTCATATATTAGATTTTTTAAAACAAGCTACCATAATAAGATTTATTTCCGTATTCAAATATATATACCGTACAATACCTAAAATAGTTATAATAGTTATACAATACCTAAAATAGTTATAAACTTTACTACATTTGGTTTTGGGTCTTTTTCAGGTCGTATGGATTTGCAGTTTTGCTCTTGCATTATTTGATTAGCAAGACATAGTTAACTTCCAAACATTTAGAAGTCAAAATAACTGATGCTTCTGATATAAGCTGAGGTATCCTGAAAATTAGCATAAAATAGTTACATTTTAATATCATGAACTACCAAACTGTTAAAAGGTTTGTTTTTTTCAGGAAGACAAAATTCAAAAATACAATTCTTAAAAATTAAAAAGACATAATTCTAAAAAAGAAATAAAAGAATAATAAAAAAACACTTCCGTACATGCTTCTGATGAGATTTTGATGATGTTTCAATTTTAAAATATAGAAAATCCCTCAGGATCAGACCTAATCAGAAATGATCTTACATCTTCATTTATTTTCCTACCTCAGATCTAAAAATAGAACTAAAAAACTCCTAAAAATTTTCCAGAGAGAAATGTATTGGCAGATATTTATAACAATGTAGAGTAGCTTTAAATATATTTTTTTCTAATTATTATTAGTAAGAAACATCATTATCAAGGT